GAAAAGATAGTGTAGAACAAAAGAACGATCAGTGCGTTTGCTCACAAGACCTGGGGAAGGTAGGAGAGACCCACGAAGAATGTTCCTCCAGCATGAACATGTTCTCACCACTGTTACTCAGAAATGAGTGTATTCAGTCAAAGAGATTTGATTTAGGGACACCTGGGTGAGCTCAGCTGGTTAAGCCTCCAGCTCTTGATTTCAGCTCAGGTCATGATCTCTGGGTTATAAAATCGAGCCCCGTGTCAGGCTCCACACTCAGTGTGGAGTTGGCTTGAGATTTTCTCTCTCCCTCTGCCTCTGCCCCTACTCCCACTCATGCTCACTCCCTCTCTCTCAAATAAATTAATCTTTAAAAAAAAGATTTGATTTAATCTTAATTTCATTATTGTGGTTTTTTTATATTTTATTTTTAATATTTTAATTTTCACTGAAACAACACATTTTAAAGTAATATATATTATATATTATTAATATATTCACATTTTATATTATCTGTATATATTATATATTTTGCAAATTGTTTAACTTACTTTTTCTAAAATGCAAATGCCTAAAATGACATGCAAAGTATAGTCAGTTAGTCCCTTACATATTGAAGGCCGAGAATGTTAGTTTACTCACTGGCCGTGGAATTGAGAAGGCGATGAAAAATATTCTAAGATGAGGAATTTTGGCAAAGCTTCCTAAAATTTTAATGAAACTGGAGGATTATAATGTTAAAGTGTTTGGGAGTTATAAAAACTAAAAACATATATTACACTTATATTTAGGGGATTTTTTTCAGCTCTATTGGAATATAATTTATATGCAATAAAATCAATTTAAGTTCACAATTTGATGAGTTTTGACAAATGTTTAAATTGTGTAGTAACTTCTGCAATCATGGTAGGAATATCACCATCACCCCCAAAGTTCCCTCCTGTCCCCTTGCAGTCATTCTGTTCCTCCGGTTGAATCACTAATATGCTTGCTCACACTACTTTTGTCTTTTCTAAAATACCGTAAAAATGGAACCATACACTAGGTAATATCTTTTGTCTGGCTTTTTTTTTCTTTTAACATCATGATCTTGAGACTCATCTGTGTTGTTTGTATCAGTGGTTCATTCCTTCTTGTTGTAAGTCTGTTGCACTGTATGAATGTACCACTATTTGTTTATCCATTTACCTATTGACAGCAAATTGGGTTGTTTCTAGTTAGGGGCTATCATGAGTTAAGCTGCTATGAAAATTCCAGTAAAATTCTTTGTGCGAAGATACATTTGTTTTTCTTGGGTAAATACCCATCAGTGGGATTGTTGTGTTGTATTAAGTGTCTGTGACATCATAAGAAATTGCTAACCTGTTGTCTAAAGTGGCTGTACTCTTTTGCATTCTTCCGGTAATGTATCAGTGCTCAGTTGCTCCACATCTATGTCAACACTTGGTTTTATCAGTCTTTAGTTTTAACCATTCTGATATGAACCGTTAGCTCTTCGTGGTTTCAATTTGCTCTTTCCTGATGATTAATGATGTTGGATACCTTCTCCTGTGTTCTTTGCCAGTCATATATATTTGATGAAATAATTTCTCAAGTCTTGTGCCCATTTTAAAAGTGTGTTGTTTGTCTTCTTATGGCATTTTAAGAGGTTTTTCATTGTTTATATTTTAATATTTATATATTTTAATAATTTATATTTTAATATAGTTTATATTACCAGTCCTTTAACAGATAGATCCTGTGTAAATATTTTCTCCCAGTCTGTGGTTTGCCTTTTCATTTTCCTAACCATGCATTTGAGGAGCAAAAAAATTTAATTTTGATGTGGTCGATTTTTTTCAGGTTTTTCATGTGTGCTTAGAAATCTTTGCCTGACCCAAGATCACAAAAAATATTTCCCTCTGTTTACTTCTAGAAGTTTTGTAGTTTTAACTTCAATATTTAGGTATATTTTTAGTTCATTTTTATAGTTGATAGAAGATTTGAGATTTGAAGGAGATTTGTTTTTTGTTTGCATGTGGACATCCGCTTGTTGCAGGATTATTTGTTCAGAAGACTGTTCTTTTCCTGGTTGAATAACACTTGGTATCTATGTCAGATATCAATACACCATGTCTCTGAAGGTCTCTCGTGGATTCTCTCTTATTCCATTGATCTAAATGTTTGTCTTTGTGCCAGTACCACACTGGGTTGATGACTGTACCTTTTTATAGTAAATCTTAGAATCAAGTAGTGATCGTTTGGGGAGAATTCACAACTTAACAGGACTGAATTTTCTGGTGTATAAACATGATGTCTCTATTTAAGCATGCTTTAATTTTCCTCATCAGTGTTTTGTAGTTCTTTGAAGACAAGTCTTGCTCAGATTTTCTTAATTATTTTATATTTATTGATGCTATTGTAAATGGTATTACTTTTGTTTTTAGTTTTAATTTTAATTATTCACTGCTAATATGTAGAATTAGTGCTGCTTTTTTATATATTTTAGACTTTGTATCTTGCAGCTTTGCTAAACTGATTTATTATAGCAGCATTTTTGTAGATTACTTAGGATTTTATACATAGGCAATCATGCTATGAATAAAGAAAGTTTTATTTCTTCCTTTCCAGACCTATGCATTTTATTTTTTTCTGCTTTACTGCATTGAAGAAACTCCTATACAGTGTTGAATAAAAGTGATGAGCGTGGACATTCTTGCCTTGTTCTTGATCTCAGAGTAAAAGCATTTAGCCTCTAGCCATTAAGTATAATGTTAACTGTAAGTGTTTTGTGTGTGTGTGTGTGTGTGTGCGTTTTTTTAATAGATACCATTTATCAGGCTGAGGAACTTCATTTCTGTTTCCAGTGTTCTATAAGTTTTATCATGAATAGATGTTGAATTTTGCCCAGCACTTTCCTACATTTCTTGATAATCATTAATTTGTGGAGTTTTTGGTCTGTTAATAAATTGATTTTTCAACATTCCTGGGATGGTCATAACACCTTGATCTTTTTTCTGTGTTGCTGAATTCAGTATCTTAATTTTTGTTCAGGATTTTGCATCTGAGTTCCTGAGGGATATTGATTTATACTTTTCTTGTAATGTCTTTGTCTAGGTTTGGTGTCCGGGTGATGCTGGACTCATAAAAATGAGCTGTATGTTGTTCCTTCCTCTTCTGTGTAAGAGTTTGTGTAGAATTGGTATAATTTCTTCCTTAAATGTTTGGTAGCATTCACCACTGAAGCCTTCTTGGCCTGTAGATTTCCTTATAGGAAGCTTTTTAACTGAATTCAATGTCTTTAATAGAATAAGGGTATTCAGATTATCTTTATCTTCTTGAGCAGATTTGGTAGTTTGTGTCTTCCATGAAATGTTTCCGTTTAATCTAACTTGTTGAATCTGTTATGGTAATGTTGTTCATAATATCTCTTTGTTCTCCTTCCAATGTCTGTAGGATCTGTAATAATGATTTATTTTAATTCCTGATACTTACAGTTTTTAACTTTCGTTCTTGGTCAGTGTGGGTGGAGTTTTACTGATATCATTTATCTATTCAGGGAATCAGCTTTTGGTTTCATTGATTTTCTCTCTCTCTCTCTCTCTCTCTCTTTTAAGACTTTCTTTGTCAGAGCGGGGCGGGGGGGGGGGCAGGCAGAGGGAGAAGCAGGCTCAGGGAGCCTGACGTGTGGGACTCAATCCCGGGATCCTGGGATCATGACCTGAGCCAAAGGCAGACACTAAACTGACTGAGCCACCCAGGCGTCCCCGATTTCATTTTTCTGTTTTCTATTTCATTGATATCTGTTCTTTGTTTTCTTTATTCTGTTTGCTTTGCGTTAGTCTGCCCTCTTTTCTGGTTTCTTAAGGTAGAAGCTTTGATCATTGATTTGAGACCTCTCTTTTCTAATATAGGCATTTAATGTTATAAATTTTGCTCTAAACACTGTTTTAGCATTTTTATATGTGATGTTTGAATTTTTGAGTTTGAGATATTTTCTGATGTTTAACTAATTATACAATGATTCCTGAAGATTTCTTCTTTGATTCACGGATTTTTAAATAAGTTTTTGTTGTTTTGTTTTGTTTTTTAAATGTTTGTGGTTTTTCCAGGTAACTTCTTAGTTTTCTGATTTTAATACTGTTGTCAGAATGCATATGTAGTATGATTGTAATCCTCAAATTTGATACTTCTTTTATGTCACAGGATATGGTCTGCTTTGGTGAATGTTCCATGTGTACTCGAAAAGAATGTGTATTCTATTGTTGGGTGAATTGCTCTGTATGTGTTGGGTAGATCAAAGTGGTTGGTAATATTTTTCAAGTTTTCTGTCTGTCTACTTGTTTTATCAGTTAGGGGGAGAGGACTGTTGAAATCTCTCATGGTAATTTAAAAAATTACATTATTTTAAATTTAATGAAAGTAGATGGTTGTGATGTTAATAAGATGACTGAGAGCTGTAAAGGCTAAATTAAAAAAAAAATATTTTAGGGGAATGTTTTCTTCTTAATATGCATTAGATTCCCATAGACTTGTTTTCCATCGCCAGTCCTGTTACTTACTGCCTCAGCAACCCTGCTGAGCTGATTCTTTGGATACAAGTAATACAAACTTCTTGTAGCTATTGTGGGTATTAAATTAATAATTAATTACATAGCATGCTTAATCTGATCCCAAGCCGACAGTAAGTCTTGAATCCATAGAAACTATTTTTGTATTTTTTTAACTTTCAAATAAAGATATCAAATATGTATTGTGATCTTTGATGCATTGCATTTGTTAACTTTTTTTTTTTTTATTTCGCCCTTGGCCTGCACCAGATTTTCTCTTTGAATATCTTTTTCCTGTTGCTCTTATTGGAGCCTTAATTGAGCATAGCGTGCCTTGATTGTGTTGTGGAAACGATTCTTTCTTGTCATAGTTTTACTCACTTTACGATAGATAGGAGTGTTGGTACGTTAGATACACTTGCCGCAGCTATAAAATCATCTCACGTTACTTCGCTGTCTGAAAGGCAATCTGTTTTTCTTTTCTTTCAGATAAACCGAGAAAGCTGGTGTGCAATAAAGCCGTGCCCTGATACAGCATCTCTGTTGGCCCCCGCACAGAGCCCAGGTAAGCAGGGGTCTTCCAACTTCCAGTCGCTTGAATCACTGCGTCTCAAGTGTCCATTTTTTGCACTGCAGCCCCCCTCTGATTACAGACCACTTTCAGAGATCTGTCCTTCCTTACCATGCCATGCAATAAGTCAGAAGAGGGGGTATGTGTGATTTGGGTTCATAGGCATTTTGTCTCAACTGAGAATGGGTAGTGTCATATAATTAACCTAAATTTCAGGTTAGTAGTGAGTCTTCACATGTGGCTTTCTGACTCATCACTTCTGTGAAGGCATCTGTGCTGTGCACATACATGGGATCATGGTTTCTCAGTCTGGTAAAACTATAAATATTTGTTATTAAGACCTAAACCTGTGGCTCTCCATTTTGGCTGCACTTCGAAATTATCTGGGAATATACTGCTGCCTGGGTCCTGCTCCCAGAGGTTGTGATTTAATCGGGCCTGGGATGTGAGCTCGGCCTCAGAATCTTTGAAAGCTCCTTTGGTGACTCCACTGCACAGCCAGGATTGAGAACCAGAAACTTTGGAAGTATTGTCAGCCATTGAGCCTTGCCTTAAACACCCATGAGGTATCAGTAACAACAGCTGAGGGTCAGCTGCTAAGACCTGGCTTGTTAATGACACAGTGCGTGACTAGTGGGTAGTTAAGATGCCCAACTTTTTACCCAGGTTTATCCACTAATTCACAGTGACGAGAGTTCCCTAACGTCTGTGCGCTCGGTTGTCATCCATCTCTCAAGGGCTTACTAGCTCTCCTCGGTGGGGGGTGTTGCCTGAATGACACGGTGCTAACTGTAAGGCCCTGTGCCTGTTGTTGCGGCCTTCCTGTGAGTGCTGGTCATTTGTATCCTGGGCTCTTGAGTCGACTTGACTCAGCAACACCTCCGTTTACCTTACAGGTTTTACTGACCTGCTTGAGTGCTCACTGACTGGTCTTTATAGTAACACTGTAGCTGTGGCTGTCCTGCAGTAGTATTAAGTGGAAAGGCAAACTGTCCAAACCCTGCATCTCCCAAGAGGTTTCCTACTGACTCTCAGTTCTTCACTCCGAAAGAAGTGTTGGAGACAGATACGAAAAGTGGTCTTCCCTAGTTTTGTCTCACGTGGAGGATACTATGCTATAGTTGTGTTTAGGGTCTCTGCATGTTATAAGGTTGACCCTGTTTCCAGACTTAGCTGGGACCCTTATACACCAGCCAGCCCCCTAGAATCTTCTACTTAAAAGTACACTACTTACTGTATCTTGGTCCCTTGAGCTGTTCAGGGTGTTTTCTGAAAATACAATTATGCCCAACCATCCAAGCAGTGAAACTGTCTGCCTTGTAAAGGTTAAATGTGGAAGTTTCTCCACATGCTGGAGTTTAATTTACTCATTTAAAGAAATGAATTTTAAACCCCTGAGCATTTTCCCCAGGACACCCTCTTGAATTTTGTTGACAACGCCCGCCTCCTACTCCAATCCCAAGCATAACGACTTTGGTGTTTTTAAAATGGGTCTTTTTAACTCTCCGTGTAATGGCATCCAAGATCTGGATTATGCTTTGGAGCTTCAGACCTGAGTTTTTGATTTTAGTAAATTTTTTGGTGAATTCTAGGCCCTTTGGATCTTGAAGGTTTCATTTATGTTATGAACACAGCTCAAGAGAGAGCAATAGTGTAAAACCAAGTAAGATGACATGTTTTAAAATCACTTTGGATATTCATTATGGATAAATACAAATTTATATAAGTACAAATACATTATGATTAGCATGGTTCAGCAGATCTCAGTGGGCGCTGCTGGTAGTTTTTCCTATCTTTGCCTGCTGTAATTTGTTTGCATATATATAATTTTAGACCCAGATGACTAGAGAGCATCTTAAAATGACACGTTTTGCTAGCTTTTAAAGAAATTAATGTCTCAGGACACAAAAGTTTATAGGCAGATTTATGTATGAGTCATAAAACAGGACTGGCCCACATCAAGGTAATGTCCTTTCCAGATACTTGCACAGTATAGGTTAATAACAAAGCCTTAACTGCATTAGGTGTGTTTATCACACACCTGCTGTGTGCGAGGGGCAGAGTTCTGGTTACTATTTGCATAAAATTCTTTCTAACCGTCACTACAACTATTTCAAGGAGATACTAATCAGTCCCATTTCACTGGTGTGGAAGTGAAGGCTTAGGGGTTAAATGACTTCCTGCCTGGGATCTTTCTACTAAAAGTAGGCGGAGGGAGATTTAAGCTAGACAGGATCGACTCTAAAACCAGTCAGTGCTCACTGTTCTTGCTTCTACCTGCATGTGTTGCTCCACCTCATTCATTAGGAAGAGGGCAGGTAGGAAGGCCTGTAACACAAGGTGGGGATTAGCTTTACCTTTAGGGTCCCCCCTCATTTGTGGGGTTTCATGATGGCTTATGGGTCTTTTTCTCCCCCTTGTTCCCTGTTTGCTTACTCTTTCCACCTGCCCCACGCCCCCCCCCAATTCAACAGTTAGGATTGTATCACACAGCAGAGTCTCCCCCCAGTTTGATTTGTGGTCCCTTGTAGTGCTGGCCCGGATTTATTTTCTGGGTGAACTGTTCCTACCAGGGCTGGATCTGGATCTTCCCTGTGAATTTTCCATTAGAGTGTCTTGAGTTGGTTTGTTTTCCAGTCTGGAATTGGGACGTGGTCTGTTTGCCTGCCAGCTGGACAGCCAGCAGCTCAGCATAGTTGCTGTGACAGCCCTTTCTTTTCTTGGCCAGCCCCCTGTTTTCCCCTCAGCCGTGAAGTGGAGTCTTTGCTTTTTCCAAGTGGGGAAAGGGGGAGAAGTAGAAAGGTCACACCCACCGACTCCACCTGGGTTAGTACATACTCTGAACCTGGGTGTGGCGGGGGGAGTCCGGAATACCCATGGTTTCCAGTCTTTTGAAGGCAGGGCTATTCCCATTGAACGAAACACTCAAATAATTTGGACCAACCAAGACTGAAATGGACTAGGATCATTTTTTTTTTAATTGAAACATTTTCGGATTAACCTGTGGGCCCCTCCTCGCTCTCGGTGATATCCTTTGTGTACTTCTATGTTGAAATGGTCTCTTAATATGTCCGTTTCTGCTGTAAGGTTGCAAACTATCCCACACGCATACACAGACTATCTCTTTTTACTTGGATAATCCCTAGCACCTAGTCAAATACCTAACTGACAGAAGAGGTAATTTTATGGACAGGCAATTCGTGACCTATATACCAGTACAATGCTTCTTTGACCCTTCCTCTAAGATCCCCAGCTAATCCAGGGCAAATAATTTATTAATGATCAATAATTAGCTAATTCAGATATGAAGAAACTTCCTTTTCTCAACCCTCCACGCGCGCGTGCGCACACACACACACACACGCGATTATTGTCCAAACATAGACCCTGAGGATTTAGAGAGACATTGGGGGTCGTCTAATCTCTACTTCCCCTTCCGTGTATGCATCTTTTCTGAAACCTCTTGACAAAGTCACTCAGCCTTTGCTCCACCCCTTTTGGTGAAGTGACAGTGGTTACTTTATGAAACTCCCAACCCATTGCCCAGAAGCCTAGTTATAGCAAAGCTCTGTGGCTTCCAGTCAGTGGGCTTTTAGTTCTTCCTCTGGAACAGTACAGAGCAAATCTGCAGCTGCCCTTAGACACATTTTCTTCAAGCTCCTGTGCAAGCCTCATGGCTCTCGAGTGTTTCCACTGTTGTGACCTCATCACCATGCGTGCATTTCTGTTTATCAGTGTTTTACTTAAATGTTACCCAGGGACAAACATCATCCTGTGGGTGCGGTCCAGCTGTCACGTAATGGCAGGACTGTCCCCATTTTGGACCTGGGTACACTATTAATAGAGTCTAAAACCATCGGTGTTTTTCGTTTTGCTATCACCTTGTATCGTCAGCTCCTCTTGAATCTGCTTTCAACCAAAACCTCCGGGGGGAGTTCTCATGAACTGCTAGGTAGCCAGCTGATCTGTTGTGTCCCTTGTCACTTAGTCTCACCTGAAGAGTTGATATATGTCTGTCTGTATCCCATATAAAAATGCTAACTGGAGTGGAAATGCTTCACTCTCCAGATTTCTTGAAGGAGGTTGATATCTACCTACTAATTGACTTTCTTTGGGCTCTTGGTTTTACTGCACACAAATTCTGTTGCTGCCAAGTCCTGTGTCCCTTTTGTTTACAGAATTAATAGAAAGTGAGTTAAATACCTTGCTAATTTCAATGTACTAAGTGTTTAGAATTCCTTGATGTACAGCATAACATTTCTGTCAAGGCCCCCTCTGTCTGATTTACCAGAGTCCCTATGCTAGTTATTGAACTGAAGACAGATTCTAGATGATATATTTTTCTTTAGTGTATTATTCCCCCAATGTCAGATCTGCTTAAGGTAGAAGTCAAACAATTATATTTCTGTTATTACTCAGTAGAACCCATAAGTGTGATACACTGATATTTTTATTAGATATGCTTCCCCTCCTTTTTTAATCCTAATATTTGGCTAGGTAATAAGTTTCCAGAAAGAACTGAAGTCTTAGAAATTTGGTCATAAACCCTATCTCATAGTTTCCTAATAAAGGACTTCTGATTTTAGTAGCAAAAGGAAATATTGTCTAACTCCCAAGAGGAAAAGATTACCACTTAAATGCCTAAATACAGATGGAATTATGGTTCTGAATTACCATTTTATCTTTTTGTGCCTTTGGTTTACATGGCAAACTCATGGTGGTTCCACAGTAATGATCACCCTAGAATTGGAATACCAGAATTAAAAGCTAGTAATCTGTGTCCTTTACCGCTGCTTAATACTGGAAGAGGGGGGAGGCTAGTTGGTTGACTTACAAGGTGAATTGCTGGACTGAAAAGAAAGTAAATTTTTTTTTTTACGTATTGGTTGAATACATTTTCTTTTTCAGACTGTGAGAACTTCCTGGATGTTGGACTGGGCAGAGAATGTGCCTCAAAACAAGGTGTCCTCAAAAGAGAGTCCGGCAGTGACTCTGACCTCTTTCACTCACCCAGCGAAGAAGTGGACAGCATTGTCTTCCCCAAGGTACTGTCCGCCTCAGTATGTAACTCCTGCTAGCCATGGTGGGCATCTCTCAGTGATCCTAGAGAAGACTACATCCTCCCTTTCGGAGAAGGGAGCTCCGGGGCTCTGGGGCTTAGATAAGGGCATCGGCCGCTTGATCTTCAGTAGAGTTGTGGCTGGTTACATGCAGGTTTTGAAGCCTGAAGAAATGGGAGTTCCTTTGGTGTGAATTAAATCAGATGAAGGTGAATACTTTTCAGTGGGCAGGAAAGGACCGCAGCTCAGACTGTAACACGTCATGTGTATAAACTAACCATAGAGTCATTTCTGATTAATGTGTTTAGGCCTGAAGCTCGCTGCTCAGCTTGGTGATGTCACCCCTCCTCATCTAGCCTGCTTAATTGGAACTTTCTAGATCTCTGCTGGGGAACCCAGACTGTCTTCTCCCCAGTGAAAAGCCAAGCCCATGCACATGAGTCACCATGTGTTTTCATATAATTTGAGGCTCTCTAAGGGGTCCGGGGCTTGGGGGTGGTTTGCTTGCTTTTGCTTACGTTTGTATCTAGTTGCAGCGAGTTCTGTTTTGTCTCCTGAGAAGAATAGCGGGCTTTGCCACACCAGGATCAGCAAGTGGTACTCAGTCACACGCCACACGTGCTTGTCTTAATCGCGAGGGGGTGAAGGGGCAGAAACACAGCAGCTGTGAGGACGCCTTTATGAAGGCTTCAGGATGACCCTGGAGAAGTGATAAAAGGGCAGTTGGGTAGTGGGTGATGCGGTTCTCCAAGACCCTGTGAGGATGCTGTCCCATAAGTTACAGGAGCGGCTTGGCGTCCTGGGATTCTGGGCTAGAACATAGTTAAAGCCTCTGTGAATGTACCCCTCACTTTATTTCCGTTTTTGTCCAGTGGCTCTCATGCGCCCATTTGGCCTTCCCTAATCTTCTTTTCCACCGTGTTCCCTTTCCCTGTGCTCACTGTCTTCCAGAGGTCCTTGGAAAAATTTACAGAACTTCAGGATTCCCGTCATTGTTGCTTGCAGCGAATTGATTCAGTGGGTTCTGTAAAGTAAAAAATCTGCACACTGGGAAGGTCTGTCTGTCTCTGAGGTTATCTAGGAAGAGGGAAACCATGATTTTTTTTTTTTAAATAATAGAATTTGGGTAATTTCTACTGTGACTTTGAGGTTTTCATTGTAAGGACTTCTGAACCGTCCCCCACCCCCAAGGAGAATGCCATTCTGAAGGGGCATGTCTCTCAGAATATTTTACTTGTGTCTCAGATAAACAGATAATCTCTCTTAGTTCCAGCTTTAAAATTGAATCACTGACAGTCACTGAAACCAGGTCATGGATACATGGGGATTTGTTAAACATTTATGTGTGTTTGAAATTTTTCATAGTCAAAAGTTGTTTTGAAATTGCAGAGTCTTCATTAAGCTTGCTTGCTCCCTCCTAGGTGCATGACAGCTTGTCCCTGGATGCTGGCGTCTGCAGAATGGGAGTGATTTCTGATCACTAAACTGAGTGATTTTCCTAGCTAAAGAGAATTTGAATTTCCTGAGTTTTGCCTCCTTACTCAAACTGCCAAAAATATTTAGGAGATTGTTCATACGAATGGCTGGTGCTAGATTTGGCAGTTTTTTCAGGATGACTAGACAGAATTGTTAAGAGTTGAAGCATACTCCCCAAATCAACTTTTACCTACATGTCATACCCGAGTGGCTCAGAAAATCCAGAAATGGTGGATGCACTGTCATCTCTCCGTGCACGCACGAGAATGTCGCATGGCCTGGGGCGAGATCTGGAGGGTTCTTCCTCTTGGTTATTTCCACTTTCCCAAAGTTGGGTTGTGACCCAGAGAGGTTTTGCAATAAAAGTTTTCTCTGGCATTCATAAAGCCAACCAAGGGTTTGCATATGAAAGGAAAAGGGGGGAGAGAGAGAGAGGGAGACAGGCTAATACTTAACAGAGTGGTTACTATACACTCGACACCGAACTGAATTTTTTATAATATATGTGTTCTCCTTTCATGCTCCCGACAGCCCTGCGAGGTGGGTGGTTTTATCCTCATTAAACTCCTGAGGGAGAGCAGGCTCTGATTGGTAGACAGGTGTATTCCAAATTACTCAGCTGGTAAGTCACAGTCTTGAGGTTGTACGTAGGCCTAACTCTCCAGTCTGTTCCCTGTTACTTTGCTCTCGATCTCCAGACACCTGCTTTAATCGCCAGTGATTTTATACAGAAGCAGGGTGCTGGCAGATGGGCCATCAGCAGCGTCCCTCACCGTCTGCCTCCGTGGACAGCCACACAGTGAGTGTGTTGTGAAACATCACCCTGTCCCGGAGTGCCTCATGCTCTCCCGTCTCTAAAATATCCTCTCTGGGCAAGCCATCACAACATTCTTTCCTGTGAACCACGAGTGGTGCGTTAGGTCACTTCCTACAGCCGTGTGGGTGACTCTGGCCTCACAGAGGTCTCCTGAGCAGCCTGCAGTGTTGGTCACAAACTCTTCACCTTAACCTTCTATTTCCATTCACCTGCCTTCTGGTAAACACGACTCGGGTGAGAGGACCTTCCTGATTACCCTCTGAATATTTGCTTGTTCTAAGGTCTTATTCTCCATAGATCAACAGCATAAAATTTAGATTCTTTTTTAAGATTTCATTTATTTATTTGAGAGAGAGAAAGCACAGTGGGGCAGAGAGGGAGAGGGGGAAGCAGACTCCCCACTGAGCAGGGAGCCTTATGCGGGGCTCGATCTCAGGATCCCGAGATCATGATCTGAGGCTAAGGCAGACTCTTAACCAACTGAGCCACCCAGGTGCCCCTAGATTATGTTTTTAAAGTAGGAAGAAATCCTGGTATTTTTCTTGGCACCAGCAAAGAAAGAGTGACCATAAAATAGATAATCTCAGCCACCCTGTTATCCAAAAGGTTCATTGAAGTCCACGAAAATACTGATAGTCAACTGTCTCTTTTCCCAAAGAGAATTAGATAAAGTAAAACACTCACACCTTGTTTTTTCTCCAGTTCGTAAAATGTATCCACAACTAAGAAAATCAGAGTAATTCCCCTAAGATGCTAAGCCTTAAGGGAGCATCCTTTCCTTCCTATGCTATAGTTTGCTCTCAAGTACTTGATCACCAAGCCAGATAGTTTTTAGGCTTTCAGGGATAAAAATAATTATACTTACAGTATCCATATTAGAAAAACTGTTATCATTTATGCACAAGTATTGAAAATTACTGTAATTTCAGAACTGTGAAACAGTTTGCTATCACATGCTTAATTAAGATTCTTAGATTAATTATCGCATGTAAATGGATTAAACAGTTGGCACATACTAGGTGTTTAAAATGTGAGTTGTTATTTTCCAAGGCACATGGCAGAGTGCCTTGTGTATCATAGACAACAATTTATAAATATTTAATAAGTTATTAGAAACTGAAGGACCAGTATTTTGGCAATATCAAACATTCCTTCAGGGGTAGTAATAAGATAGAAAGTGTGTAGTTGTTTTTGTATTTATGTATACATATGTTGCATACGTATACATATACTATGCATATGTATACATAACTGCATAGTACCCATCTAGTGTAACTCTTGGTTAAGAGAGCCAGTCAGGCATTTCCCCCCAACATTTTATTGAGAAAATGCTGGAACATCCAGGGGGGGTTGGAAGAGCTGTGCCGTGAATACCCACCACCTGGATTCTACCATTAACTTCTTATACTTGCTTTGTTACACACCTGGACATCTGTCCTTCCTTTTTCTACTTACCAGTCCACCTAATTTCTTTGATGCATTTCTGAACAAGTTACAGATAACAACCCACTTTTACCCCTAAATACTTAGAATTCAGTATGTGTTAATAGAGTTGTTTTCTGTTTGTTATAAAATCTACACACAGTGAAATGCGCAGTGTGAAGGCTACCATTCAGTGACTTTTCCCTCAGCTTTACTGAGTTATAATTGACAAAAATTGTACATATTTGAAGTGTACAAGAGGATGTTTTGATAGACATACATTGTGAAATGCTTACCACAATCAGGCCAAAGTTATCTATCACCTCACAGATTTACCTTTTTGTGTGGGTGGTAAGAACACTTGAGATTTACTTTCCTAGCAGATTTCAAGTATACCGTACATTATTATTAGTAATCGTGGTCACATGCTGTACATTAGGTCTTCAGAATTTATTCATCTCTTAACAGAGCTTGTTCCCTTTGACTAACATCCCCTATTTCCCCCACCCTCCGGGGAAGCCCTGTTCTACTCCCTGTTACTATGAGTTGCCGTTTCTGGTTTCCATGTAGAAGTGAGAGCATGTAAAGGTTTTCTGTCTGGCTTATTTCACTTAGCATGATGCCCTCGGGGTCCATCCATGTTGTTGCAAATGGCAGAGTTTCCTTCTTTTTTTAACTCTGAGTAATATTTTCTTTACCTGTTCAGCTGTCCGTGAACACTTAAGATGTTTCCGTGTGTCGGCTACTGTGAGTAATGCTGCTGTGAACATGGGAGTGCAGATACCACTTCAGGACGGTGTCTTTATTTCCTCTGGATATATACCTAGAAGTGGGATATTGCTAGATTATATAAAACAGTTCTAGTTTTAATTTTTTAAGGAACCTACATACTGTTTTCCGTAATAGCTGCAACTCAGCAACTTTTAACAAATGTTTCATCTTTGTTACCCAAACCCCCATATGGATCAGACTATTACCTTCACTTTGGGAAGTTTCCTTATGCCCCTTCTCAGTCTGTCTCCTCTCCAAGCCCTTGGAGGCAACAACTGTTCTAGTTTCTTTCCCATCACAGGTTCGTTCTTTTTTTCAGAGCCTCATACAAATGGAATATAAATGTTATTTCTTTCAGGTAGATGAAGGGAATGGATAGATCATATGGCAGGTATCGGTTTGGTCTTATCGCCAGACCTTTCTCCAAAGTGGTTGTATCATTTTACATTCTCACCAGCAATGTATGAGAGTTTTGGTTGCTCCATGTTCTTATCAACAT